TTGCCTATACTCCCCACTGAAATGAGGATAAACAGGATCTTTGCCCTCAGACCTTAGTTGTGACTCCCTGCTAAGAACGGATTTAATTTCCATTCTCTGGATGACTTTTTAAATGGGTGTTAGCTATGTAGGCTGCTTTTGAAGGTTTTGTTTTTTCTTCAGTGAAATGAAATAATAAAACTTTTTTCTTTTGTGGAATCAATTAATTTTTAAGAGTTGGAGATTCACGAGAAACACATTTTTTTTTTAAGATTTTATTAATTTATTTGACAGAGACACACAGTGAGAGAGGGAACACAAACAGGGGGAGTGGGAGAGGGAGAAGCAGGCTTCCTGCGAGCAGGGAGCCCGATGCGGGGCTCGATCCCAGGACCCTGGGATCATGACCTGAGCTGAAGGCAGATGCTTAACGACTGAGCCACCCAGGCGCCCGCACGAGAAATAACATTCTTAACATAAAACTTAGTTCTTGCACTGCCTTAAAACAGTCAATTTCCAGTAGTCCAAATATGTACCAGCAGTTGTGGGAGAATGGAGAGGGAGCCTAATTTAACTTTAGACTCTTAACTGAATCAAAACTTCCAAATTCCTGATAGAAAAACTTAAGTGTCTTACACTGAGGTATGATTTAGGTTTTAAATAAAGATTTTGTTAGGTTATAACCTAAAATCATTAGACTTGTCCCCTGACAATTTGTAAGTACCGTGAGCTAGGGTGAAAGGTCAAGGAAACAGAGCAGCAGAAGTATTTTGTTAATGCAAGGACATTTCGGGTAATCTATACAAACAATTGTAAGAAAGACTTGAATTCCACTTTGACAAGTAGGCATAACTCACTGATGTTCTTCGGTTTAGAAAAAAAAATGTGCCTTATAAAAAATTGTGTTTCTTTTTTTTGTTAAAATATAGGAATTTAACATGGTTCCTTATTAAACAGAAAAGGCATTTCAGGTATATAGTAGCTTATATTACTTATGTGTTGAATGTTTTATATTACAAAGATAAATAGTTGATTATAGTTTTAACGGGATATTTTGGCAAAACCAGTAGTGTGCGTTCTTCTCTCCTTCTTCTTGCCTCGCTCACCCTCTCCCCCCCCCCCCCCCCCCAGCATAGCAGGCTTGGTTGATGACAAGTCTCGGAAAAAGAAAGAACTTTCTGATCATAACTGACAAGAAGTTTAACTACAATTTTGTGTGCTTGGAAAACTGTTGAGAAAATTTTAGTAAGCACTAAGTGCTTCTCTGGAAGGAATGGGGTATTAATGACACAGGCTACCAGTGGAGCTAGTAGTGATAAGAATACTTTAAGAGAAGCAAGGTCGGTAAGTAGTGTGGAACATGAGAACTGATCTGGGTCTATCCTTTTTTCCTTTTTAGAGGCCTGAAAGGTTTCTTAAATGGTACTGATGCCCTTTATGCCTGGATGCTAAATAAGGAACATACTTCTTATTATTTAAAAAAATTCAGGGGCGGGGTGCCTGGGTGGTTCAGTCCTTAAGCGTCTGCCTTGGACTCAGGTCATGATCCCAGGGTCCTGGGATCGAGCCCCGCATCGGGCTCCCTGCTCAGTGGGAAGCCTGCTTCTCCCTCTCCCACTCCCCCTGCTTGTGTTCCCTCTCTCGCTGTCTCTCTCTCTCTCTGTCAAAAAATAAATAAAATTAAAAAAAATTCAGGGGTGCCTGGGTGGCTCAATTGTTAAGCGTCTGCCTTCTGCTCAGGTCATGAGAACCGCACATTGGCCTCCTTGCTCCGTGGGGAGCCTGCTTCTCCTTTTCTCTCTGCTGCTCCCCCTGCTTGTTGCTCTCTCACTTTCTGTCAAATAAATAAAATCTTAAAAAAAAAATTCAGGAGTGGACGAGATCATTGACAAAATTTTTATGAATTTTAGCAAGTGAGTCCAAGTAATGTTATTAATGTTGGTATTGAGAAACTTACCTGTTTGCGTTTGAAAAGCCAAATGTCAGGCAGGTTGTTCCTATTTTCAACTATATTAAATCAACATTTCTCAGAAGTAGTCTTTAAAATAGATACATAGAAAGAGGGCGCCTGGGTGGCTCAGTCATTAAGCGTCTGCCTTTGGCTCAGGTCATGATCCCAGGGTCTTGGAATCGAGCCCCGCATCAGGCTCCCTGCTCAGCAGGAAGCCTGCTTCTCCCTCTCCCTCTGCCCCTGCTTGTGTTCCCTCTCTTGCTGTATCTCTCTGTCAAATAAATAAATAAATCTTTAAAAATAAAAAAAAATAAAATAGATACATAGAAAGATAAAAACTATGGCTATATTTACTTCCAATTGTTTATGGAATGACGAAGTATATTCCTATCTGTAAAATCAGTAAGATATTTTGTAAACATATTAAATTCTTTATTTTCTCAACATTTTGCCTAAATATCTAAAATAGGATCTTTCCCTTAAGCTTATTAACTATGCCCATAACGTAATATTTTTTAAATAGCTGCATTAATATAACTGTTAGAAAAGTGGTATTAATGTGGACTATGGAATGTGGCCATAGTTTTTTTAGTTGCCGTAACAGCAACATTGAGCCATTTTTATACTGATCAGACATTCTGATGGTATTTGTTAGAAGGCATCTATTTCTACTGTCAGTTATAGTGTATGTACAAATATATTGTAATAATTAATTTGCTTTTTTATAGTTCTTTTTCAAAGTATTGCCATTTGTATTGAATATAATATGTGTCGTTTCACAATGAAAATTTACTAACTAACTGAAGGGAACTAGCAGTGGGTTTTCTGGTGCACTAATCAAGAAGTAGCATTTTTGGACCTTTTCATGTCCTTTGAATAGGAGAGTGAATGTGGGCCTTGTGATTTGTTACTCTGTTTTTACTGCTTCGGGAATTGAGAACTTTTACTTATGTACTTCATGTTTCTGCAGCTTCAAGCAGGGTAGGAATTTTTAGGTCTATTTTGAAAAAGCTGTGACGGGAATGTTACATACACACGTGACAAAGGTGTGTGTCAGTTACTGGACCTGCAAGGAGACCTTCGTAGTCTTGGAGAGTAATCATATGCTTCTCTTTATTATTTAAAGTGACCCCCATCCTAACTGATACAGTTACTACTGAACCAGAACTACTTTTCAGTTCTGAAGTATAATGCGTACCATATAGTTGACATGCACATAGTGGAGAAAAGCCCAGAAACCGTGCAAGAGCAACTTTTTCATTTTGAAATAAAAATTCGCCATACCTCGGGTGCCTGGGTGGCTCAGTTGGTTAAGCGACTGCCTTCGGCTCAGGTCATGATCCTGGAGTCCCGGGATCGAGTCCCGCATCGGGCTCCCTGCTCAGCAGGGAGTCTGCTTCTCCCTCTGACCCTCTTCCCTCTCGTGCTCTCTATCTCTCATTCTCTCTCTCTCAAATAAATAAATAAAATCTTAAAAAAAAAAATTCGTGATACCTCATTTTTCTCCACTGTTAAAACTTTCAGTTCTTACTTTTTACTCCTGGGAGGAAGAGTAGGGATTGTCTTGTGTTGGGCTACTATGAAAATAATCTAAGATCACAAGATTGCACTTTAAATTTTGACAGAATTAATTTGTTACATATCAGCATTATGAAAACTTAAAATTTTGGTATATCTTGCACTTTCAGAAAGTTCTCTTAACAGTTAATATAATCAAATTGCATATTGGTATTTAAATTAAGACAAAAGTTACTAAAATAACTAGGGCCTAAATGATACTAGTTAATTACATGGCTTTGGTGTGCACTAGTGACATTTTATGAATATTTTGCTTTAGTTTTGTGGGGAGAAAGTGTCTGATATACTTTTTAAACTTTATTATAGAGAACTGGAAATATTCACAAAATAAAGTCATTTTTATGAATCTGCATTATATTCATCTTCTGTTCTTGCCAGTTTAATATAATGGCCAGTCTTGTTTTAATCTACACACTATCCTACAGTAGTTCCCTCCTGACCCCCCAGTGATTTTGAAGGAAATCCCAGACATCATGTAATTTCATTGGGAAATATTTCAAGTGTATCTCTAAAAGAGAATCAAATTATTTGTATTCCCTGTGAGTACTAGCTAGCTTTGTTGTGGAGAGGAAGTTCAAGAGTGCTTGGAAACAGGCCTATTTTATTGTTATTTTGCATTCAGAAAGATCAATAGTTTATACTACTTGGGTATTTTACTATTACAGTAACTCTCAAAGGATTTGAAATGTTGATTTTATAAATAACATCTAAAAATATGAATTATCATCATGAATATATATGGAGTTATGTGACAGTCCTCGTTTCAGAGCTGACCTGCAGTTTGCTTTGTCATTTGCTCCTGGCTCTTCCCTACTCTGCCAAAATTTGTGTTTTTTTATTTAAATGCTGAGAAATGGCATATATAACACTTAGTTTCAGATGAAATTCTGTAAGCTTCGGCATGCGTCAGAGAAAGAGATGACAGAATAAGGATGCATGTGAGCTGAGAAAGAGAAAGGCAGAGGGGTGAACACTGGGGCCAGGCACTGGTGTGGAGGTGACTCCCCTTCTCTCACTCTTGCTCACCCAGCCTCCTCGCCTGCTCTTGACTTTTTGTTTCTTTTCTTGGTTCCCTTTTGGTTTCTATCTTTTTCCTTCTCTTGGCCTTTACTTAATTTTGCCTGTGGCATTCATTGTCAGGAAGATTGCTAACTCCTCCCTTGGAGGGTGTTTTATTGTGTAGGGGTTGTAAGGGGAAACCTTAAAAAATGAAAGCTTTTAAGACTAATTTGTTGTGCTTTAATTCATTTTATATAGATTTTATGCAGATTTTATTTCAACTAATTCAAATACTAACTGTGGGCTAGATTGAACTTTTCTATACTCTGGATGAACCACACAGTGTATCAAAAACATTAATTTTATTGACTTTAAAGTTTACTTTATATGCTGTTAGTGAAAAGATATGTAATAATAACTTTTCCTTTTTTGTTGTCTTTTGCTTCCCATTTATTGATGAAACTGATCCTGATACTCAAATGTGACTCTTCAGTTCACAAGGTTCCTTTGCAGCTCACCTCTGGAGGTAAGAGTTTACTCCCTGACCTTAATACTAGGATCACTAATTGGACGCCACTGTTGGTATGTTTTGTTAGGCATTTATTTGGTAAATTAGAGGTGATCATTTTGTTTTAACACATACTCTTCAATAATGGTAAGGAGATGAATACAGACTTTGTTTAGAATAAGAATTCCTGTTAAGTTATAAAACTGCTCACCTTCATAACAGGTCATTGCTTCTTTTTAAGAACATTTTCTTTTTTTTGAGTAAACTGAAATCAGTCTTGCATTGTAAAGAGCCTTATTGTATCTGCTTCCTTCCTAACTGTTGACACTAGCCTTATTCTGTCTTAACTGCCCTGGCTGTTAACCGGTAACCAAGAGCTGCAGGAGTCAAGGGGGTGGGGGGGATGTTGTCAGGCAAGTTTCTGTTGGTTTGAGAGCACTTTTTCAAACCCCAGATTTGATGAGGGAAGAGCAAAGGACTTACCTGTTACTGAGCTTTTCTTAAACACACGCGTGCTCCCTTCCTCTGTCTCGCTCTCCGCCCCCTCCTCCCTCCCTCCCTTTCTCCCCGCTCCTCTCCCCTGCCTTCCCCTCCCCTTCTCTCAGTGCATCATTCACTTCTACCTTGAGTCCTTATAATAGTTCTGCGGGGTAGAGCTGAGACTCCCGGTGATAACATTGTGAGATAAAGATATTTAGGAAAGCAGCTGACCTGTGAGTTGACACAGATGGGTGAGGCTTTGAGGAAGGAGGAGGGGAGAGGAGGCCGCGGGGTAGAGATGCTTGCACTCAGAACCAAAGCTGGTTTTCAGAGCATTCCTTCCCTTAGTGGTCACATTGGGCAAATCGCAACTTCCCTGAGTCTGGGTTTTCTTATCTTTAAAATGCAAATGATAATTCTTACCTTTCCGATGAAGCAGTGGACACGGCAGCGTTTTTAGAGTGCTACTCAGGGGCACCTGGATGGATCAGGCTCAGGTCTTAATCCCAGGGTCATGAGTTCAAGTGAGTTCAATAAATAAAGCGCTACTCAAACCTTAGTGATATTTTGTATTTTCCTCTTGGGCTGTATGTACTGCAGCCCCACACAATAAGACACTGTTCTCTGCCTTTCCCTTGTCCTTCCTTTTGCTTCTGTTTATTGCACTTTATGTTCCCTTCCCCCATTCCCAGCTTGTTCAAATCCTATCCCTCTCCAGGTTGAGCCTCCAGGTTTTGTCCACTGCCTGGCCCTCCTGCACCTCTCCATACAGAGCCAGTGTTCCCTGTTCTGCTTCAGTAACACTGTGTTCATGAAATTACTGAAACGTTGTGGGTGTATGGTGTAGCCCAGCCTAGCACATTAAATACTCGTAGAGACCAGTTTGATGATTGCCAGGGGAAACTGACGAGGCCAGAGAGTACCATCCAAGTTTGGTCACATTTTCTAAATATCCAGGATCAAGGGGGAAACGAAGCTGTTTGGACAGACTCTGGGCTTTGAAATGTCAGAGGCTTGGTTGGCCTATGAGCAAGTCATTTCATCTTTTGGTTTATCTAAAGATGGGAATGGTAATACTTTATAGTTATTAAAATGAAATGAAATAGTGTGTGGCAAACACTGAACACAATGCCTGTCACATAGAATTTTAAGTAAAGTTTAGGGCGAAAACAATAAAAGCAAACCGTAAGAAATTTGAAGACAGTATAAATTATACAACTTACTCTTCATTTGAAGCATTTTTTAAGCATAGCAGAATGGGAAGTATCACAAAGGAAAGGATGGAAAAATAAAAATAAGATTTGCTTCTGTTAAAAATCCTTAATTTTGTTCATGAAAACATACATAGTTAAAAGGCAGTTTGGGGAAAGTGTGATAACAAGGTTATTATACTTAATGATCTCCTGGAATCAATTTTAAAAGGTACTATTTTCTTTCCCATAATTTTTCGTTGGATTTTATGAGATAGTGTGGTGAAATACAAATGATAATAAATGTTTTAAGAGTTTAACCTTGTAAGTAATCAAAGAAGTGTAGTTTAAAAGAACAATGATAAATGCTTGCTTACCTGTTTAGAATTTTTTTTTTTTAAAGATTTTATGTATTCATGAGAGACAGAGAGAGAGAGAGAGAGAGAGGCAGAGGGAGAAGCAGGCTCCCAAGGAGCAGGGAGCCCGATGCGGAACCCGATCCCAGGACTCTAGGATCCTGACCTGAGTTGAAGGCAGACGCTTAACCATCTGAGCCACCCAGGCGCCCAGAATTTTTTTTTTTTTTAATGAATGCTTAGGATGGTATGATGGGATGGGATGTTTTTAAACTTTCTCCTATACAGAAATCAGTTTGGTTATCTACATTAAACACCCTATATAAATTCATACCTGTGGGTTGTGTGCCTGACTAATTTTAGTCTAAGAATCACTGCCAGGGAAATAATCAGAAGTGAGGACAAAACTTGCATAAATGTTTATTACAGCTTTATTTATTTATTTATTTTTAAGATTTTTTTTTTTTTTAACTTATTCATTTGAGAGAGAGACAGAGAGCACAAGCGGGGGAGAGGCAGAGGGAGAAGGAGAAGCAGGCTCCCTGCTGAGCTGGAAGCCTGACATGGGGCTTGATCCCAGGACCTGGAGATCATGACCTGAGCCGAAGGCAGACACTTAACCATCTGAGCCACCCAGGTGCCCTAACAGCATTATTTATAATGGCAAAAAATTTATAAACAGTCTAAATGTCCAGCAGTAGGAGGAGGTCAAGTAAATAATGGTATAGACAGCCATATTATGGATAGAACACTCTACAGCCATTAAAATTGGGATTTATGCATATACATGTTCATGAGTATGTGTTGATGAACAAAACAGTGAATGAAGTAGGATGCAAGATTATACATGCAGATTTCAGTTTAAAAATAATTTAAGCATACAGAAATTAATTAAGAAGATACACAAGATGTTAAATTGTTTCACCCTTTGCTCTTCCATGAAGGAGCCACAATGGGGAGAAGAGATACCTTGGTAGGTTTTTAGTGGTGACTTTTGTAGTCAGTGTTTGGAAAGTACATCAGGCAAGTCTCTGATTGACGTGCAAACAGGGTCTAGTCTTGGGGGAAAAAGGTGGGTAGGGAGAAATTGCAGGAGTTTAGGTGAAGAGAATGCTGATAAGGTTTAAAGCTGAACTCTGATTTCAGCAAGAGCTTCGTGGAGTAACCAGGAAGAATGGTTTTGAGCAGAAGACGTTTAGGCTGGATTGGCTTACCTGGAAATGGAGTGAATAAGGAGGCTGGCTCTTGATGTCCACTGCACTACTGGGGCAGCGTTAACAATGGCAAAAATCCTTCTAAATAGACCTCACTAATGGATTTTTCTCAAATGTAAGCCCAATGAGAGAGGACCCTGTTTTTCTTGCTTCCTGTGTTTCTGATTTTAGTATAGTAAATAGTACAGTGGAGGCACTGGATAAATATTTGCTGAATGGTTGGATGAATGAATAAGCCAGGTGGGGCTGAGGCTGCAAGTAACAGGATTTTACCCATAATTTGGCAGTGGTCAGCTAAAAACACACAAGGCTTAATATTTATGTTTCAATATGGTTAACAGTCTTCCTAGCAAGATTATAGCTACTTAAGATCAGGATCTTTGTCTTTTTTATCTTTGGATGCTCTCTGGTGTAGATAGGGCTTGGAGTTTACCATCTGTACAGCTAGAGTTGTACCAAACAGTTTTTTAATTACATCTGGCTAAATATTGAGAATCTGTGTGCAGAAGCTTTAATCTTTGGTGAACAGTAGAGGGAAAGTATGATCAAATTTTAGTGATAGTTTCTGTCATTTTCTATCTGATCTGCTTTTTCCACTTAATGATCCGGAGTGGTGTTTTACTGTGTTTAAATCTCTTTTCTTACTGAGCTTATGGACATGGGGAAAGGAAAAAAAAAATCAAAATTAGAGATGACCAATGTGCTTTTGTTTGCTTGAAGTATTTGGGGAATACCTTGAGGGCTTTCTGTTGAAATTTTTCTAGTCTGGAATTTTGCAGGGGCTGCCTAATGGCGTAGTTAGTGGCTGCTATCCCCCAAATTTCCAACAGCACTGAGCTCAGGATTCTGTTCCTTTGCCACCTCCTTTGCCTGTGAGCCAAAGCAAAGCCAAAGTAAGAGAGTGTTAGGAGTCCCAAATGTTTAATTTTGCCATTAAGCTTATGTTTTAGCTGGAGAAGGAAAATTACACATACGATAAATACCCAAACACCTTCCCTAATTTTGATTAAAAAAAATAATAATTCAGGGCGCCTGGGTGGCGCAGGCGTTAAGCGTCTGCCTTTGGCTCAGGTCATGGTCCCAGGGTCCTGGGGATCGAGCCCCGCATCGGGCTCCTTGCTTGGCGGGAGGCCTGCTTCTCCCTTTCCCACTCCCCCTGCTTCTGTTCCCTCTCTGGCTGTGTCTCTCTGTCAAATAAATAAATAAAGTCTTTAAAAAAAAGAAAAGAAAAATAATTCTGGTAGAGACCGTAAAATACATGAGACTTGCAGTTGAAAATGAAGAATACTCTAAACTTCACTTTGTTCACAGAACCAGTATGAATGAACCATGTCCCTTTGTTATAAGTCCTAAACAGTTAACTGCCACATGAATCTAACGAAATTGTCAGGTTATAGTAATTACATCAGTAATTTGATCTGCTGTCATTTGAATGGAGCCATGTGTGTAGAGTCAGTTACTTCCCTCTGTGGGGCTGACCCTTTTACATTCCTGTAAGCTGAAGACTAATAGAGCTCATTAAGCTTTATGGGAAAAGAGCTTTTATCACCTCGTCAAGTCAGGCAACATATTTCCATTATATTCCTAATTTCATGTGGCTCTGTGGCTGCTGATGTGCACTCCCCTGCTAGGTTTACATCGGACCTCTCCCTTACAGACATTTTTATTGACATTTCTAAGTCTGAATTACATTTTGTGTGGCACCACCTACAGATGTCTTCAATTAAATGTAGGTAAATAAAGGGGATTATATATCAGAGGCTAAAAGATTCTTGAAA